ATATGAGTGTCAGCTTTGATATGAGTGTCAGCTTTGATATGAGTGTCAGCTTTAATATGAGTGTCAGCTTTGATATGAGTGTCAGCTTTGATATGATACCTATAATCCCGATCCCTTAAATCTTGAGATATCCACAGTGGGCAGTTTTAGTTTTACATGGAGAATCTGCTGGATCCATGGGGGCTGGATCTTAGCTATCTCTCTGTGTATATGAGCCCGATTGTACACCTAAGACAGTTTACTGATAAAGGATATTAAGAGATTATGGCCTATTCATACAGTACAAATATCAAATATGCAGTACGTCTGTGGAGTACAGGTTTATGGGGAGGTTTTGTATCCTGAATTCTACTCAGTTTTCACAGACGCCCTCCTGTGAAAAATTTAATCCTGCACAATAATAGTGTAGTGGATTTTAATAATTAAATGGGAAATAAATTCTCCATTTAAATATTTTCAGGAATCACCCCCGAGTACTGTAAACACAGATTGACCTTTAAAAGTGGAGTACATGGCCTGTACAATTAGTAAAGGATTAGCGTACATCATCACTCTATATACATGACCTCGTTGGCTGGATCTCTTGATTTTGAATATCGCTACTTTCTCTGTTCTCTGATTGGTTTATAGCAAAATTTCTTGGCTTCTGATTGGTTGCTCGTTTTCTGTACTTAACGCGATATCATATAAAGATTAAATTAATTTGCAGATTAACAAAAGGTCAAGATGAAGTTTTAAGATCTCGATATCCACATTACAAGAGTTCTCAACTCTGCCCTCTTCTTTTCTTTCCAGAATCTCATGAATCTATAGATAGTTAGACATTTCATTTTTATAAACGTACTTCTTTTATCTTAAAGAATGAATTTTTTAACAAAAGTATTCGAAGATAAAAATATTTTCCAAATATTGGTGGGTTAAAGGGACTGTACACATAATTTCAAGGGACCATCCTGTGATAGAGTGGCGTGTCCGATTCTAAAAGGTACCCTTGCAATCTTTTTCCTATCAAGTATTAAAATATTCAGTCCGAGTACTCCAGTTCTTGTTCTCAGTCCGAATTTACTAGTTTATTAGTCTTTAAATTTAAGTGTCCCACACTGAAAGTTTGGATTTATATACAGGGTGTCCCACACTAAGCCTGACTTAAAGATTGAAATAAAATACAAGGGTGTCTCACAATAAACATGACTTAAAGATTGGGGTTTTTTTTTGCAGGGTTTCCTACACTGAGCATGACTTAAAGAATGAAATTATATAAAGGGTGTCCCACACGTCACTAAACATGACTTAAAAGATTGGTTTTATATACAGGGTGTCCCACACTAACCATGACTTAAAGAATGAAATTATACACAGGTTGTCCCACACGTCACTAAACATGACTTAAAGATTGGATTTATATAAAAGTTGTCCCACACTAAACATGACTTAAAAGATTGGATTTATATAAAAGTTGTCCCACACTAAACATGACTTAAGAGATTGGATTTATATACAGGTTGTCCCACACTAAACCTGACTTAAGAGATTGGATTTATATACAGGTTGTCCCACACTAAACATGACTTAAGAGATTGGATTTATATAAAAGTTGTCCCACACTAAACATGACTTAAAAGATTGGATTTATATAAAAGTTGTCCCACACTAAACATGACTTAAGAGATTGGATTTATATACAGGTTGTCCCACACTAAACCTGACTTAAGAGATTGGATTTATATATAAGTTGTCCCACACTAAACCTGACTTAAGAGATTGGATTTATATACAGGTTGTCCCACACTAAACATGACTTAAAAGATTGGATTTATATACAGGTTGTCCCACACTAAACCTGACTTAAGAGATTGGATTTATATATAAGTTGTCCCACACTAAACCTGAATTAAGAGATTGGATTTATATACAGGTTGTCCCACACTAAACATGACTTAAAAGATTGGATTTATATACAGGTTGTCCCACACTAAACATGACTTAAAGTGCGAATGAACACTTAATTGTTCAATCAAACTAAAATCCACGTCGAAGATTATTTGAGCAAGTGGAGAATTATCTTTTTTTTAAATTCGAGCGGAATTCGGCTTTTTTAATTAATTAGCTCCATCGAACATATTTTACTAGGAATGAACAACAAATGTTTAATTTTAACAAGTCACACAGCAGAAGCTTTTTGGGGTTTAAAGAAATTTGTAGGAAACTACAAATTTTTAATTTTATGAAATTTTTAATTTTATGAAATTTTTATTTCATTTTGAAGGAGTTCAACTATCCCGGATATTTGAAAAAGATTTTACATGATCAAAAATGTCAAAAACGCAAATCTTAGAAACAGGAATGATTTCTACAGGGTGTCCCAAAAAACATTGGAATTCAGTGACGAATTCGATATCGTCTTTGTTATTAATTGGCATTGTAATACCTAATTTCAAAAGCCATATTATTATGTCTCCTAGAATTCATTTTATGAAAACGGTAAATGGCTGTAAAGATGTGTCTATAATGTCTCCGCAAGATGAACAGTGAAGACTGCCAAGTTTACTGCAATTTTCTTGTTTTACTAAGTACAACCGTATGCAGTCAAAACATAAACAAACAAAATGTAAACATAGCAGACGAAACTCTTACAGAATTTAACTTTCTCAGTAGGTATCACTATACTAAATCAAAGCATGATTAAAAAGATGATATCGAATTTGTCACTGAACTCCCATGTTTATTGGGACACCCTGTATATTCCTCGAGTAAAATCTATTAAAACTCGACTGCTTCCTCCTCACAATATTTCCCTAAAATATGGTATCAACAGAAACACTTTTCGCATTCAACTTTCAAATAGAATCTGATTAAAATTTATAAACAGAACTCTGACACATGATATGTTTGCAAAAGAATCGAAGACAGCAAAAACGAGTTTGGACAGATTAAAAAGAGAAGATAAACATAAAGGATGTCAAATGGGCGCGAATCAGAAATCACTATTCTGTTTAGAACCTACATATTTTTCACAACCCAACCTATTTTATTTTGTTCGACATTAAAATTAAATCTATTATGTTATTTTCCAAAAGTTTCAAGTTCAAAATCAAAAAATACAAACACTCCGACAAAGTTTACAATAAATATCCAACGTTTCTCTTGCTTTCCTTCCCTTTCTTTAGAATTGAAGGATATACTTCCACAACCTACATTAATGGGGGTTTTTAAATATTTTCTCCGGATGCATTTGTATGCTTTTGTTAAAAATAATTACTTACTTTTCTAAATTTCAAAAGACAAGATCTCTCATCAAAACAAACTTAATTTCTACTATTTCTAATTTTTATATCATTTTTTATTAATTTTTAATAGTTACATAATACAGTACATAACTATAAAGCTGCTAAGACAGTTCACTCTGTGTATACCGGATAATCTACAGTGGTAGGCAATTATATCAATAACTTGAAGACGACTTTTTTATTTAACAAGCTTTTTTCGAATTACAAGTTTATAAGTAATCAAAGAGAAGCTTTTTTAATTGGCAGCTTCTCTAGACTTCTATGGTTCTGTGTATCCATGCTGTTAAACAACTTGATAAAAATTAAAAGTCAAATCGAAAGTCGTCTTCATTGTATTAATATAACCGCCTACCACTGTAGGATAAGTTGTAAAACATTGTTCGTTGGGGTTTAAATATATCAGAATTACGTTCATTTCTTTTGTCCTATAGAAAACAAGTTTGTTTACATATTTTTGCAGTACACTATTTTGATGACGTCAACTAAATGTACTGAAAAGCTAAATGTAAACAAACTTGTAAATTTCACATATGAACTACAAAGAGAAAACTTGACAAAATATTTAACTGGATGTTATCTCGTAATTGTGTACATACATTTGTACATACATGTACTGCTCAGGGTAACCTATTTAATCAAAATTCACGTACCATATTTTGCCTAAATTATGTACAATCTTGAATCTAAATTATTTGAAATTAAAATAGTTTTTACTTGCATAATTCAATATCTTGGTTTTTGGCAAAATTGTTTTCTTTTTGGAATAAAAACAGAAGTTAAGAGAAGGCGAGATTTTTCCACAGTAAGAATAGTATTGGACGAAGATTCTTCGTTATGTTGCGTAGCACGTTAGGTCACGGAGCGCCGCAGTTGCGTCATCTTCGATATCTGGCAAAAAAAGCATTTTTATATTTGGTTGAGATTAAATTGTCACTTAAGCTATGTTAACAAATTCATGCCATCAACTCAAAATCATTTCCAAAATATGGATAAAATAAAAAGTGCATAAAATCATGCGAAAAAAAACTAAATGTAAATGAAAGTATATTTTATTAATAAGAAAATTTAGTTTCAAGATTGAAATAAAAACTTACTCAATCATCGATGGTAACTTCTGACATGGGCGTTATTGTGACAGAGGAGGGGAGGGTCGGAGCCTTCCCATTTATACCAGGTCTTATACCTCCTAGATAGATCATTAATATCATTGTTTTCATTATTATAATTTTTATCTTAAATATCATTAATATCACTAAAATCATTATTATCATTATCATTATTATTATCATTANATCACTAACATCATTATTATCATTATCATTATTATTATCATTATTATTATTATTATCATTGTTATTATTATTATCATTGTTATTATTATTATCATTATTACAATTATTATCATTATTATAATTACTATCATTATTATCCTTATTATTATCATTATTATCATTATTACAATTATTATTGTTATTATTATTACTATTGTTACCAGTGTTATAATTTTTATCATTATTATCATAATCATTACAATCATTACTATCATTATTATAATTTCTATCATTATTATCATTATTATTATTACAATCAATACAACCAATGCAGAAGGACAACAATCGTAGACACAATTAAAAAAGGACAAATTAGATTTAACTTTTAAACTTTTAAAATTAGGCTTTTTTATCGGAAGAACGTTCATGATGTTATATCAATATTTGGCGATGAAAACTTTAAAAAAAACGATTCAAAAGTTTTCAGTCCAAGTCTTTTTTCTAGATTTATTTTGATATTCCTAATTTTCCTATTAAATTATTAACCTGGTGAAGGTCGTGGTCCAACATTCATCGGTCTGATCCCTGGTCTCATCGGGACCCCTCGGTTACCATTCATTGGTCCGCCGCGCATTGGTCCACGGAACACTCCGCCGCGCATAGGAGCCCCGGGGCGCATGGGAACTCCGGGGCGGACACTGCCGCGCATATTTCCTCTGAACTGAGCATTCATCGGAACTCCGCGCATTCCTAAATATATTCAATTTTTTTAGGTGGTGTATTTTTCGACCTACGCAAATCCGCTATACTACAATTCTGACCTACGCCAAATCCTCTATATTCCACTTCTGACCTACGCCAAATCTGCTATACTACACATCCGACCTAAAAGGTTTTGCAGCTGCTATATGGACTTGTGGCCGCAGATCCCAGCCCCCTAGCCTGTCCTAGCCGCGGCGCTCGGCCACCTAGCCTGTATTAGCCGCAGCACTCGGCCCACAAATTGTCTTAACCTAACCCTCAAATAATACAAAAATGAACAGCTGGCGTAGGTCTGATATTACAGTAGGTCGGAAAGTTAGTAGGTCAGAAGTTCCGTAGGGGGGATGTTGAGAATAGACGATGTAATATTACCGTTTTTTAGCCTAAAATTAGACAGGTTTTAAAAAATTGAAAAAAAAAACATCTGGACAGTATTTAGCGGTTTAATATGCACATTTTGATACCCATGATCCATGTTAGAAAAAAACAATAAATCTACATTCTCTTACGATCAATATTTTTTTATTCATTTGTTACATTTTTTATTTATTTTCTTCAGTAATTCTAGTTTGCTACTGTATAATCTTTTAATCTTTATAATATTTTAATTCTAGTTTGCTACTGTATACTCTTTTAATCTTTTATATTTTAATTCTAGTTTGCTACTGTATAATCTTTTAATCTTTTATAATATTTTAATTCTAGTTTTGAATTTGATTATTTCTCTTGTCGCTTGCGCAACTATCTAAGAATGCCGCGCACCACTCACATTTTTCGAAATCCGTTAAAACGTTTTTTAAAAAAATAAAATATTATAAAATATAAACTATATGCAAATGTAGCGAAAGATAATCTATGACTATAGGTTGTAATCTCTGAATGATTTATTTGAAATTAAATTGATTTTTTACGGTCCAAGTTGTATGTTGCATCTTTCTGAATTTGTATGGGCGCTAAGCTATTCGTTATGAGACGTCTTTAACAATTTTCTCCTTAAACCCCCTTTCATTTTTCGCGAACACTCCCTTTAAAGGATAACGTCGTATTTTCTGTCTCGAAAAGTTTTAATTTCTGAGATTTTCTCCAGTCGTTCTTATAAGCAAGAAATGCGCAAGTCACTTTAGCAGAGAAACCACAAATATAAAAAAACAGTTTTAAAACACAAAAACATGGAGTTCTCGTTTATTCTTGATAAGACTAGGTTTTCAAGCGTACGTTGTAAATCGAGTATGGCAATCTTTGCAAGAAGGGTTGCTTGAAATTATGCACTTGAGATTACGCTATACAGTCCATTTGAGCAACTCTAATATTTATGTGAAAAGAAAGAAACGAATTTTTAAAATGAAAAACACGATTTTGAGTTGCAGAAATACATGTAAAAAATACTAAATAGGTCTTTAAATCTCACTCAATTCAACGAATATTTAAATGATTTGTCCTGAAGTTTGGGTAAAAGAAGCTTGAACTATACATAAAGATAATTAACGAAAAAGATATCAAATCAGTGCAGTGTGTTTATCAAATTTTGTCGTGTTTAGAGAAAAATCCCATATTAGACTTGTAAATTGCAATTTTTATTTTGAAGATTTAAAAAACTGACCTGGTCTAAGGCCCCCGGCCATGATTCTACCGCCCCTGATGTTTCCTCGGACCACTATACCGCCCCTGACAGGCATACCCCTTGGGAATCCCCTGGCTATAGGACCCCCTCGCATAATCCCTCCACGGCCTCTAGCTGCAGCGCGAGGATGAACCTTCTCCAATATTCTAGGATCCAGGTCCTAAATTTTGTAAAATATATCATAGGTTGGTTGTTAATATTGTTATTATTATATGACAATGAATATGACCATAACAATATATGTTGAATATGAATATGACCATGACAATTAACATCAACATGAACGTGACCGTGACCATGACCATGACCATGACCATGACCATGACCATGACCATGACCATGACCATGACCATGACCATGACCATGACCATGACCATGACCATGACCATGACCATGACCATGACCATGACCATGACCATGACCATGACCATGACCATGACCATGACCATGACCATGACCATGACCATGACCATGACCATGACCATGACCATGACCATGACCATGACCATGACCATGACCATGACCATGACCATGACCATGACCATGACCATGACCATGACCATGACCATGACCATGACCATGACCATGACCATGACCATGACCATGACCATGACCATGACCATGACCATGACCATGACCATGACCATGACCATGACCATGACCATGACCATGACCATGACCATGACCATGACCATGACCATGACCATGACCATGACCATGACCATGACCATGACCATGACCATGACCATGACCATGACCATGACCATGACCATGACCATGACCATGACCATGACCATGACCATGACCATNTGGGTAGAAAGATGGATAGTTAGATCGAGAAGTAAATATAAAGATGGGTAGCTAGGTAGATGGATAGATAGATAGAAAAGTAAGTATAAAGGTGTGCAGCTATATAGATGGATAGATGGATAGATAAGTAAATATATAGGTGTGCAGCTAGATAGATGGATAGAAAAGTAAATATAAAGGTGTGAAGCTAGATAGATGGATAGAAAAGTAAATATAAAGGTGGGTAGCTAGATAAAAGAAATAGTCTCTTAGATATGGCAAACGGAAAGAAAGAAATGACTTATTAGATTAATATTAAAAAAAAACTTCTGTCTTAAAATTTAATTCAATTGCAGATTTATGCAGCAAAAGCAACAAGGGTACCGTCATAAATCGGACATGACATTCATAAATAGGACATGCCATTCATAAATCGGACATGCCATTCATAAATCGGACATGCCATTAATAAATCGGACATGCCATTCATAAATCGGACATGCCATTCATAAATCGGACATGCCATTCATAAATCGGACATGCCACTCATAAATCGGACATGCCATTCATAAATCGTCGGTCACTTGAAATTACAGTCTCTTTAAATATTACCGTAGAAATCCTTTCTGCTGAGTTTGGCGAGTTCTTGTTTCGCTTTATTGAGAAGATCCCTGTAGCTCTGATTATGTTTGTCTACAGCGAGGGCCTCCTGGTAGAGCCTGTAGGCCTCGTCGTGGTTGTTGGCCTTGAAGGCGGCATCCGCGGCCTTCTTCTTGTTCTCCTGGTTGTGTCGGTCGCGGTTATTCACTCGTTCTAGGTCACGGACCTAGACATCAATTAATAAATAAATAAAATGGAAGTTTAAGGTCATTAAAGTCGCCATTTTCCTAAAAATGGTGGATTTCTAAATACTAAAATCTTGTTTTAAAAATATTTCCACGCCAAATATGCCATTTTCCAGCTATAAAACAAAATATATATAGATAACTAAGCTTCCATTAATCCGCAACACATTAGGTTACACTCTACAGGGGTGTATATGTGCACTAAGATTTATCCCCCCCCATCAATCTCCACCTCTCTCAAGAAATAGAATTTAATCTCTTCTCAGACTTTTCCTCTCGAGACGATTTTTTTTCTCACATTTACACTTTTTTCTTTTTATTGATTTTTACTGTTTCTGACACAACTTCATCAAATCTAAGCTTAATAACCTTCTAAGAAAATATAAATGCTAGAAGATTAAAAACTGGATCTTACCGCTTGATCCCAGTTACACAGTTCCATATAACATTTTCCCCGTTGCACCATAGCCACCAGGCACGTAGAGTCTAGTTCAAGAGCTGATTCACAATCTTCTATACTTCCAGTATAGTCTTCCATCTAGATATATATAGACATGTATAGATCTATATATAGATATATATAGACATATATAGATATAGATGTATTTTTTCTTATAGCCTTACCAGCTGGGAAATTAATGAACGAATAATAAGCGAATTAACTAAATATATGAATGAATAAAATGAACTGACTAAATGAATGATTGATTAAATGTATTAATTAACCAACCTTGGCTAGTAGTTCTGCCCTGCTAGCAAGTAATCTAGCATTAGTTCCTTTATTTCTAGGATCTATCTCTAGTGCTTCATTGTAAATACTAAAATAGAAAATAATAATAATGATAATATTAAAGCTCGAGTTGCCCATCCCATCCCATCCCATCCCAGTTCAATTTTTACGGAGGTCTTACTAAATAAATAATATGTATTAAATATACCTAATAGCAAGATCTATATTATTGCTGTTTGTTGCTTTGGTCGCCTGCTCCTTCTTCTCTCTAAACAGAAAACATGGAAATTGGGATTAAAAAGGGATTAAATAGGGATTAAATAGGTATTAATATGAATCAAATATGTTTAGAGATTGATAATAATTTATGTATCCTTATAAACAGGGATTCATAATATTTAAAGGACAGTTTAAAGTAGATGGAAAATGAATAGAGATCAGATCATCGGAACTATCGAGGTAGTAAAATATATATTTTAGTAGGAATAAAGGAATGAACAAGTAGGTAACTAAATAAAGGAATAAATAAATCAGTAAGTAACTAAATAAATGAATAAATAAGTGAGCAACTCAATAAATGAATAAATCTGAGGGTAACTAAATAAACGAATATTTGATATTTAATTAAATGAATTAAATAGTAAATTAAATAAAGGAATTGCGTTTAATGCAGAGTGAAAAAATAGCTGAAGGAATATCAGGATTAATATTTTTACCTGTATTGTCTGGCTTTCTGAAGAAGGGCTTTAGCACGGCTATGGTCTTTGTTTATCTGTAGAACCTAATCAATCAATCAATCCAGTGTTTCGGATCCATATCATTTTGATTTGGATCCGGATCCGGATCCGCGGATCCGCATCCGTGTTCATGGATCCGGATCCGGCTCCTGATACGGATCCGGATCCGAGGTAACTTTTGATTCTGTGAATCGGATTTTCCCTATTAAATGTTATGCAAGGTTATAATTTATAAAATGTCGTCATTAATTTACTATATTGAAATGAAAAAATAGAGAGATAATTTATTATAATGATTAATGATATGTATTTATAGATAATTATATGAATAACGTTAGGGTATGATTTCCGTAGCAAGAGGCTCAACAGAAACATTCGAAATATCTAATTTTAAAAATGATAATAATAATAACAACCCCGGGAATTTTGTTAAATTAATAAATAACATGAAAGTTTACCTAAGGAAGAGTGCTCCAACGTTTTTCTGATCATGAAGAAGGATGGAAGACGCAGCTTTAGCCCCATCAACATATCTGCAAATAGTTAAGAAAGTTAAAAAAAAAACAAGATGTTTAAATTCAACGATTATTATTTGTAAAAAACTCGCAGTTAAGTTAAGATATGTTTATGGTTAAGGGACTGTAAGATAAATTTCAAGTAACTTTAAATGCAAATGTGTCGATGCCAGATTCACTTCGATTTCTTACACGTTATTTATCAGCTGAAGGTTTCAAGTAGGAAAAACACTACCTTCCAAGATGAGCTAAACAGTCTCCACGGGTCATTTTAGCTCTTATACAAGCTGTAGCCTGTCCAACCACTTTATCCAACAACTCTAGAGCCTACAAGTATACAAAAATTGGTAGTATACTGTGTACAATAAGAAGAAGTTACTGTGTACAACAAGAAGAGGTTACTGTGTACAATAAGAAGAGGTTACTGTGTACAATAAGAAGAGGTTACTGTGTACAATAAGAAGAGGGTACTGTGTACAATGTGTACAATAAGAAGAGGTTACTGTGTATAACAAGAAGAGGTTACTGTGTACAAGAAGAAGAGGTTATGCTGTTTACGAGAAGAAGAGGTTATACTGTGTACAAGAAGAAGAGGTCATACTATGTACAATAAGAAGAGGTTAGGGTGTACAATAAGAAAAGGTTAGTGTGTACAACAAAAAAAGGTTACTGTGTACAATAAGAAGAAGTTACTGTGTACACAAGAAGAGGTTACTTTGTACAAAAAGAAGGGTTACTGTGTACAAGAAGAAGAGGTTATACTGTGTACAAGAAGAGGTTATACTGTGTACAAGGAGAAGAGGTTACTCTGTGTAAAAGAAGAAGAGGTTACACTGTGTACAAGAAGAGGTTATACTGTGTACAAGGAGAAGAGGTTACTGTGTACAATGTAAAGCGGTTGAAATCAAATGAAATGAAAAAGATCGTGAAAGACCCCCAATGTGGGATCCCCAGACCGACATCCGGTTACTTTGTTACAATAAGAGGTTACAGTGTATACTACAGAGAGAAAAGGTTATTGTGAACACTGTACAGAAAGTAAAAGTTATTGTGTACACTGTACAGATAGAAAAGACTATTGTGTACACTATTACCTTAACGAAGTCTTTATTCTTCATGGCATCCATAGCTTCCTTCTCCGTTCTTTCAAGCTTATCAAGGTCATCCTGATGGACTTTACTTCCGGATATCATAGCCTAGATAGATAGATAAATGGATAGATAGATACACAGACAGACAGAGATTCCAGATTATAGAGTCTAGATAGATAGATGACAGACATTTAGACAAACAGAGATTAATTATCTAAGAGAAAGAGAGATTAATATAAATAAAAATAAATTTAGATTAACAAGTAGATGTAAGGATAGATAGACAGATAAAGTTAAATGAGTAGAATAAATAGATTGTATAGATAGATAAAATACATGGATAGCTAGACAGATAGATTGATGATTAATGGATAAATTGAATAATTGATAGAAAAAATATTTAAAAATCTTTTGTTGACACAGCTAGAGAATATCATTTATAAAAAACTTGCATGGATAATAATTTAAAAAATTATAAATATAGAAGTTTCTTGCCTAGGGAATCCACAAAATTCGAAATTTTAAACGAATGGATGTCAGATGGAGAAATGTTTTAAATTATTTTTTATATTATCATTACAATTTGGTTCAAAATTAGGGTATTACTATTATTAGGGAAATTATGGTTTGAACAGTGTACACTATACAATCTACAAATTTGAGTGCACAGTCTATAATCTAGTGTAAATGTACAGTGTATACTGTTTAATCTACAATCTACAAGAATACAGTGTATACTCAATCTACAAGAATACAGTGTATACTGTTTAATCTACAATCTACAAGAATACAGTGTATACTCAATCTACAAGAATACAGTGTATACTGTTTAATCTACAATCAACAAGAATACAGTGTATACTGTTCAGTCTACAATCTACAAGAATACAGTGTATACTGTTTAGTCTACAATCTATAAGAATACAGTGTATACTGTTCAGTCTACAATCTAGAAGAATACAGTGTATACTGTTCAGTCTACAATCCACAAGAATACAGTGTATACTGTTCAGTCTACAATCTACAAGAATACAGTGTATACTGTTTAGTCTACAATCTATAAGAATACAGTGTATACTGTTCAGTCTACAATCTAGAAGAATACAGTGTATACTGTTCAGTCTACAATCCACAAGAATACAGTGTATACTATTTAGTCTACAATCTACAAGAATACAGTGTATACTGTTCAGTCTACAATCTACAAGAATACAGTGTATACTGTTCAGTCTACAATCTATAAGAATATAGTGTATACTGTTCAGTCTAAAATCTATAAGAATATTGTGTATACTGTTCAGTCTACAATATATAAGAATACAGTGTATACTGTTCAGTCTACAATCTACAGGTGTATACTGTTCAGTCTACAATCTACAAGAATACAGTGTATACTGTTCAGTCTACAATCTACAAGTGTAAATGAACAGTCTATGATCTACAAGTGTACAGTTACAGTACAGTCTACAATCTAAAAATGTACAGTCTATAACGCACCAGTGTACAGCGTACTAGCTAAAATCTACAATTAAGTTAACAATGAAAAGTCTAAAATCTATGAGTGTATACTGCGTACAGTATAAATTTGTAGTGTACAATAACGCAATGCACAGCGTGCAGTGTACAAGTGTCCCCACCTGGCAGTTGGTATATCTCCTATGCGTACACAGCATTGTACAACACGAATACAAGCTTTTACAAAGTCAGGAGTCAACCAGTGAGGGGAGTTTATTTCAGCCAGGGTCTAAAAATTGATTGATTGATTGATTCATCCACCCATTCATCCTTTCATTCATTCATTCATTCATTCATTCATTCATTCATTCATTCATTCACTTATTCATTTATACATTCATTAATTTATTCCTCCGTCCCCTTTCATTCATTAATTCATTCATATTTTTAATAATTTCATTTTTGTATTAATTCATCAGTTCATTCTTTCATACTTGCGTAATGAATTAGAAAGAGAATAAGAAAGAGATTTGAATTATGGATAAGATGAATAACCTGGCTATTGCCAAAATACTGAAAAATCGGAAATATGATATCACATTAGTTGGGTAAAGGCAGATATTTTGCCGTTGACCGGCCCGCTGGGGATGACCGGCGGTGCCCGGGTCCGTGCTCCAACACCTAAAATATAAAAAATGGTTTCTTAATATTATTTTAATTATTAGAATAAAGCTGAACGAAGAATCCTCTTTGTTTCTGATTTTTAATTAGAAATAAAGATTTTATAATTTGCAATGGTTTTGATTGATATTCTTTTCAAAACATGTAAAAATCGTTAGTTTATCATTCTAAAAATGTCATTACTTTCGAAATCTACAAAATAAACATTTTATCTATATAAATAGACATATGGCTTAATTTCCATGTAATAAGATAATTTTGAAAAATCAGTTTTGTCAAATATGCCATACTAATATAAAAACAATTTAGAAAAAAAGCAAATCTTTTTTAGCCTGCCCCCCGCCACCCCTGAGTGTTCACAAAAAATGTCAACCAATTCAGTTCCGCTGTTAGGCCGGCTATCGGTGACATATATACGAACGTCTTGTTTTATTATAAAGATGTAATATATTAGTAAATAGTTAAGTCTAGTTAGACATTCGAAAGAGGGGGGGGGGACCGGGGGGATAGAAGGCATGATAGTCTGACAGATAGAAAGTTAAATTTGAAGGCACAAGGGCAAGGCAGGTTGTAGATAGAAAGGTTAACAGTCGAACAGAGTTTGCGGGCCCTGGAACCACCTAAGAGAGAGAGAAGAAAAAACATAACATTCATTAAAATAATTTCATTTCGTTAATTTTACAAAAATTTCGATATAAATTTATATTAGGAAAGTCCAGGGCCCAATTTTCCCAGCANTCCCATCCCACCAACTTAACAAACATACACCGTTCTCATATTCCCTCGAAACTCCCGTCCCGTCCTAAGAGTCCTATACAAAAGCTCGATTCCCGCTTTTTTTTTTAAAAATTACCAAATATAAGTAAAGAATCAAAATTTCTACTAATTTAAAGATATCATAAAAATATTAACTAAAATTTTTAAAATTTTTTTTATTTGCTTTGCCCCAATCCTAAAATAAAGATAATTTATTTCTTTTTTGCAATATCAATGACCACTATTTCCGGACATCTTCATGCAAAACAGTCTTTTATCGAGAACTGCATAAATGTATGAAGTTTACATATGATATAAAACTTCCCAATAGTTCAGACTCGAAAATCCGCCAACGTCGTTCCCATCCGCGGGTGGCGGCGGTCTCGATCCCCGCCAGTCGCACTCAGTGCAGCGGTTAGTCGCATGGCGTGCCGGTACAAAACAGAGTCTGGGCCCGTCCCGGAATTTTATCCTAACAATACGGGTTGGGTTGTCAAATTCCTGAGAGACCGGTCCGGGCGGCGAAAACGACCAGGGCGGGCCGCGACTCAGACCGGGCGGAGTGGAGACTCACCGGGCGGGTGGGAGGTGATCACACCAGGCGGGCGGGAATAAAAGACCGGGTCGGGACGGGAATATTGGGAAGCAGCTCCCGCTTCTCCCGCCTAGATATGTGGGAAATCCTACAGGACAGAGCAGCCGGGACAAGTCCTACAGCTTTTGTCCGCAGGACCGAGCCGCGGGACGCACTGCCGGGAAATCACGACGCAAACTCCCGACAACAATATAATCATGGAGACGGGAGGAAAACCGGGCGGGATTATATAGTACTACAGTTTATCGGACAGTTCTTTGACGGAACTCGACATAACATAATCAAAGGCCGCAGGGGGAGGGGGCGAGGGGGGGTCTAATTACGATAATTTTTCAATCTAAATTTAAAATCTCACACAATTAATTTACACATTTTAATGACAATTAAATTAAAAGTAAATATTAACCTTTCTGTGGAAGAGAAGAGGTTTGTTGAATAGAAAATCCTTTATTTTTCAACTCTTCAACTTTGTTCCAAAATTCTTTAGAATTTGGATCAAACGTTTGTGTTTTGTCCTTCTTACCGACTGGGCTTTCGTTATCACTGCTCAGATCTATTGTTTTTGACAGCTCTTCGTCCGATGGATTAAAGTCCGAATCGGAAATGGCATCGTCTGTCAGATTTTCCGATTTTTCGCCAGAACTTTCTTCGTCATCGACGTCATCGTCACTTTCCGGTTCAAATTCGGAACCGCTCCCACTTTTCCGTTTTTTAGCCTCCGTTTTCCGACTTCTCAGCGGCCGTTTTCTGCTCGTTTTCACCGATTGTTCGTTATCACTTTCGTCGTCAAAAAGTTCTTTTTCAAGATTATTATTCTTTCTCGTCGCCGGCACTTTCTTCCCTTTATCTGGGCTGGGTTGAAAATCTTCGTCATCACTAGATTCGGGAATTATATAATTACGCGCCATCTTTACTCTTTTACTTTACAATTTGACAATAATTCACATATTTTCTGAACTGCAAAGCAACGTTTTTATTCGCAATTTAAAATTTGCAACTTATGAACTCTGAAAATGAAAAATACATGAAAATAAAAATCAATTTGGCCACAATAATATTATTGAAAATGCTCTGTTATGCCATAAAAGTCGGTTTAAGTGAAAAGTTATGTTTTAATCACGAAAATTGAAATTACTTCGCAAATACTTGCGATTTGAAACTAGAATGAAAACTTTATAATGCAAAATAACATGACCGATTTATAAAATTCAGCATTTTTAGAATCACTTTTTTTTTAAACTGAATAATTGTAACTTTTTGTTGACTTTAACTTGCAAGATTACATTTCGTTTGCAAGCAGCAAAGTGCGGAGAGAGATTAATGCGCATGCGCCAGACATTGGCCAGCAGAAAGCACAGATGTAAATGTACTTCACAAAATTGAAATAAAATTTTTTTACATATATTTTTCAAAACAAAATCCATATTTATATTTGTAAAATTTGTTATTTAAAAGTAAAAAGTGTTTCCCTGTATTGATTAGCACACTGTGTTGTTGGTGTTTGTTTCCAAAAAGACGACATTTATATTTTTGAAAAGGTTCTTTTTAATTCCCCGCCAAATTAATTTTTTTTAAGTAAGAGAATTGTGAATTAGAAAGAGAATAAGAAAGAGATTTGAATTATGGATAAGATGAATAACCTGGCTATTGCCAAAATACTGAAAAATCGGAAATATGATATCACATTAAATCCAGCAACAGGGGCGACCGAGACATTTTTATTTCCAGTGGGGGTGGGGGCGGATTAGAATATAACTGTGAAAACCCCCTCCACCAGACGGTCTGACACCCCTGTGGAGTTTTGTCATGTTAATATTGCGCGCGCTG